ATGGATATATCCTAATAGTCCAGGAGGCAGCGACATTTTTTGTGCACTCATTTCTACAAAGCTGGTTTTCTGCCATTTTATTGTTTTGATAGTACAAGCATAGTGTAAAGTTACACTAAGGTACAAGTAAACAAAACGGTAGTCTACCGCGTCGGCGGTGTTGCCTAAATTGGCAACAATGTTCTGAACATGTTAATAAATAATATGTACATGCCTCATTTCTACAAGAATGAAAGTTTGTACAGTAATTAAGTATACCTAAAAATGAAATATGGTAATGGTCTACCTAGCTGGAAGCGTTACCATCACGTCTATCACCCACGCAAGATGCATAAAAAATTATTCGATTGAACTTATTTCTACAAAGATGAAATTTTTGTTGGAAAAAGTTGATGTCATAAGAAACCAAAAAAAAATGGTCTACCGATCGAGTGGTGTTGCTAAGGTCTCGGTAGACACGCTGGAAGGTACGATTTTCCGAGAGCAGCTGCTGATGCCCTGCTCTGCTAAAAGTACCTCTAAATTATTATATACACGGGCATAAAATAAAGATATTTCAAAAACGAACATAGGCAATTAACATGGGAAAAAGGTTTTTTTGCAGATCGTTGCTCCCCATGATAATTTAGGTCTTAGCGGGTTTATTATGACACCAATCGAAAAAAGATTTTTTTTTTCTTTATCTAATGATATACGAATTAGTTCATTTTCAATTGTATTTCTCATTATTAACGATCCTCGAGATTGTTTATAATTTTGTATTGCTGTCTGTCCGTCTGTCTGTTCGTCTGTCCGTGTGCACGATTACTCATAACTGAATAATATCATTGACATTGGCTATTTTGTGTCAAAATTTAATGCTACTGTTCATAGAAAATCGTGAACAAGTACCAGTTTCCATACGATTTTTTGACAAAAAAAGCCCGGTAATTTGATAACTATGCAAAAAATTTAATTGACTAACCTGTTGAGAAGCGAGATATTTTAGTTTTCAATGAATTTGAACGTTTTTCGTATTTAGGTTTTTTCCCAAAGTTTTCAACTTGTATGTAATATTATTTCTAAGTAATTTTTGTGGTGATGGCATTTTCAAAATTTCTGTACATAAAGTCGAATTTGTGGTTGAATTGGATTTTTCGCAAAAAATTTTTGAATGAGGTGGAATACTTCTCGTTTCTTTGAACGTTTGATTGCAGTATGAGGTAGAAGGGCCATCTTCTTTGTAATTTAAATCTTGAAAAAATGTATCAGTCATTTCTCAAGTCATTTTAACGACAAAAAATAATATGGTTACCTTGTTTTGAGTAAGGCAAAGGAATTGAATTGATTCTCAATAACTTTCGATTGCCGCTTTTGTAAATATCACATGAATTAAAGTGATTTTCACAAACGATTTTATATTTTAATTCTTCATCGTCTAACCCGGCAATAACAGAATTTCCACAAATTATTTTCCTTGCCGTCCTCGTTTGTTTTTGATAGGAAATTTAAAATAACTAATGTTTTTAGTTTTCATTATTTTATCAAAAATTCGACAATAACTCTAATTACCAAAATCATGTTAAGCCATGAAAATTTTCTAAAGACTTGACACAGACGGAGTGGGACGCTCATTAAAATGCATGGAAATACTTTTTCCTCAGTGAATAAATTTTACAAAAAAAATTATTGACAGTTGTCGTAAACTGATATTCATTTCGAATTGAATAACGAATAACGCATTTTTTATTTAAAAAATCTGATACAACTGAATACCGAACGATCCTCGAGATCTTCACGCATCCATTAATTTTACAACGCGCCTTAAGGGGTTGATTCTGTCCCACCAGATCGGAATAGCTTGTAAAACACATTGTTTGAAACGGAGTTAGCTTTACTTTTATTCCAGGTGCCTAGATACAAAATTTCGCTTAAACATTTTAACAAAAAAAACAAGATTGCGCATGCGCAAAACAATTTTTTTTCATTCGGCGTTAGTTTTACTTTTACTCGAGGTGCCTACATATTAAATTTCAATGAGATATCTTAACAAATAAAGAAAATTGAGATTGTGCAAATACAAAAGTAGGGTTGCGCATGCGCAATTGTTTTTTATTCATTACCTGGGGCTTAAGGGACATTTACTAACACAGAAAACCCGGCATTCACATGTGCTTTGTAACAAGAATTATAAAAGAAACCCTTTTTTGGACGTTTGCGCAGTTTTTGAGCTGTAATTTTTTGCCCCGTTAGTCTACGTAGCGACCTTTCTTATATCCTTAAGAACAGCTGTTTCAATTTTCAAAGCGATCGGGCGTTTCTATAGAACGTTATTCAGTAATGAGCTATCGTGCACACGGACAGACGAACAGACAGACGGACAGACAGACAGCAATACAAAATTATAAACGATCTCGAGGATCGTTAATAATGAGAAATACAACTGAAAATGAACTAATACGCATATCATTAGATAAAAAAAAAATCTTTTTTCGATTGGTGTCATTATAAACCCGATAAGACCTAAATTATCATGGGGAGCAACGATCTGCAAAAAACCTTTTTCCCATATTAATTGCCTATGTTCGTTTTTGAAATCTTTTTATTTTATGCCCGTGTATAATTTAGAGGTACTTTTAGCAGAGCAGGGCAGCAGCTGCTCTTTGAAAATCGTACCTTCCAGCGTGTCTACCGAGACCTTAGCAACATCACGCGATCGTAGACCATTTTTTTTTTGGTTTCTTATGACATCAATTTTTTCCAACAAAAATTTTATCTTTGTAGAAATAAGTTCAATCGAATAATTTTTTATGCATCTTGCGTGGATGGCATTTTCCATTATCATAGTGGCGTTATTCACAGTCGCTAGATCTCGCTTTAGGGTTGTGTAATGTTAATATACAGTTACTCAAAGTAGAAATTATCATTGAGCTGATTGGTATAACCGAATTAGGCGATTTTACTATGGTACCAATAATGCTGTCACAATTGTGTGCGGCAAGATAAATCTTGGTTTCCAGGTTAATTTTTACCTCCATTTTTACCAATCCGGTGTATTTTGCCAAAGCAGGCGGATCTCCCAACTACCAATAGAAAATAACACAACCGTATGACCACACTGTCACAGAGTCACTGTAATTTAATTAAAGAGACTTTGTACGAGACAGTGGCGACAATAGAGTGTCTAATTTTTTTGATTGGTTATTGAGATCGGCGGCCATGTTGCATCGAGTTTCTGCTACGTTATTGTGTGCAACTACACACCACATCGTATTGGTAATTGATGATCTCTAATTTGAATTTTCGATGCGACATGGGACTGGACGGAGTGTGGTATTCTTTTTGAATCAGCTTGTATTTCACAAAAAGTGGTCCACAAACAATAAAATTATCTAATCTTATTTTTTCCCACGTGATTTCAGTTTGATTTTGTAGGAAGCATCTTCCGCTAAAATTTTGGAAGAATTGGATCACAAATAAGAAATGTTGCGCATACGTAATATTTTTTTTGCCATCATTACCCTGTAGATAGTCTAGTTTTCATTTATTTTTTAGGAAACACTCTTTAATTCCAGAAAGATCCGTCCACAAACAAGAAAGTGCACATAATAAATCAGGGTTTCAAATGATACAACAGAGTACATTTTTTTCACTATCATAGCCGAGATCATAGCAACCGTTTCCACTTATTTCAATGGTTTCCACAATCAACTTGGGATTTAGATCAAGATTTTCGATCTCTCTGATCCAAAATCATCGCTAAAACTGAGCAAAGTAGGTGTGATGCAATGTGAGAGTGGGAACATTCTTGGGACCGTGGGAAATATTTCAGCAGTTGGCCCGGGCCAAATTTTGACTTCAGCATCCAAGATGAATGGTCCAGAATGCAAGATGGCGGGTCCAGCATCCAAGATGACAGGGCCAACTTTCAAAAGGCTCCTGACCAACCTCCGAAATACCCCCGGACCAACTGGCAAAGCGTCCCGGGTCAACAGTCTACTTCCCACGCTCAAGTAGCGTCACACTTACCGAGCGAGCTCCATGTTTTTGATTTTGGGCTAAAGGCCGCTTGACATGGAGAAATACAACGCGTATAGTATTTATCAGTACAATAAAAGGCAAAATTTTAAAATTGTGAAAAGTGAAAAAAATGGATTTTTGGCTACAATTGTTTTTTTTTGTAAATGGCACATGAAAAATTCTTTCCTTGGTGCAAGCCTCAGCACCATAACGAACCAAATAGCGAGAAAGTAGGGCAATAGGTCTTAAGATAAAGATGAAGTGGCACAGCCGTAGGGACGGATGAACAGACGGATTTTTTGTATTTTTATGGAATGGCGTTGTAAAGATTTTCGACATAAATGGAGGTATTTTATGCAACGGTAAATACACCCTAGTATTTAAATTGTTTGAGAAACGAACCAAAAAGAATGACGTTATTCTAATGCACCATCTGGCCGTAAATTAATATTACAGGCACGTGACCGAAAATCCACGAATCAGAAAAAAAGTTATAGGCTTTTTCTCGCCATGTTTAACCCGCCTTCCAGCTCTGAGTTTTTTCTTTAGGTACATGCTGAAAGTTATTTCATAAAAGTCGAAATTGAAATATCTTTCCGGAAATTTTTGAAGTGCTTTACATGCTGCAATTGAATTTCACTCTCAAGTGAAATTTTGCTAACACCAACCTAAACAATATAGAGATCGACGCTTTTGATCCTTTGCTTTTCTTTTTTCTGTTATTGCTGTATTACTATGATTTATCCCGTATCGTAACAATTCCCAAAATCGATATATTTTTCACATTTACTATAATTAAGATCAAAGAGATCATTTGCAAACTTTTGTTTATAGAGAGAAAGATAGACAAATCAGAGCTTTTCAAATCAAGAGCACATAAAACGTTTCCAATAATAGAATCACGATTACGTATATTTAATTTTTATATGAAGTTTTCGACGCAATCGCGAATTAAAATTAAAAATTCGTGGAAAAACTAATCAGTATTCGCTCCTTTGTAGGAACAATTAAGGAAACGAAAAGAAGAAGAGGAAAGAATAGCGGCCCAAAATGAATTCCTAAATCGATCGCTTCGCGGTTCACGAAAACTTCAGGCACTTGAAAGTCATCCTCAAGGAAGTATAAACGATGCGTTTACGGACGACGATACACGCGAGTCGTCCAGGTCTCTGACACCCGCATTTCCCGGTGAAAAGGAAGTCGTTCACACACTTTATGGTAAGTGATTGGTGAAATACACTATTTGCTATACATAGTTATTTATTTTAAATTATGTATTTGCGAACAGCTCTTTATTTCCGGCGGGGACGGATGTTGCCAGCATTCCCAACTCGTTACTAAACCTTTCTTTGTGTCCGGTATTTGTATGCAAGCCTTTCTTTTGCACCAATTCCAGTTGATTTGAATCCGTGAAAGCGTTGTCAATAATACAAATTGAATAATATTGATATTTGGTTTGGTTCATTAATTCCGGAGGCGTAGATATTTTGGTTTCCAATTTCATGTGTACTAAAGTACATAATATATTAAATATATACCTACGTTTACACCTTTCTCACATTCTACGCACGTTACGCTATAGAAACTGAAAGTATATACTTGGACAGTTGCAGACGGTTTGCAAGATATTTCAGTGTGTGACCAATATTTTCTAGCAACACAACTAACAACCACTACGATTATTTGGAGCTAGAACATCCAAGGATATCTCTCATAATCATTTTTCAATTGCCAGTTTGCGGTTTCCGGTTTACAGTTTTCAGGTTCCACAGTTTCAATTCTCACTTACCTACCAGTAATTTTAGCTTCCTAGTTCAAATTTCTATTATTAACTTTTAATTTCCATTTTTCAAATGTTCTAAGCTTCTAAATTTCAGTTAATTTCCTAACTTTAAGCTATACAACCAGGCTAAGCGTGAGCGCAATATTTAGCGAGTACTTAAATAACATCGCAATCGTACGCGTCGTTTACCATCCAATGGCAACGCTGTATCCGCAATCTGTGGGAAATGACGAAGCCTTCGCACTTTGCCTGCATGTTTAGGCATTTCGCGAAATCCCTAAGGAGAGGCAGGCAAAGTGAGAACTGCAGCTCCGTTTCTCACTTTGACTGTTGTATTCGTCATTTCGCTAAATGCCTAGGATTTCGCAATTTGCCGGTAACATATTCCGATTTCATAATTTAAATTATAATTTCTTTTAGTTCGGTGACAGGTTGCCTACTTATGCGCAATGTCCACTTTCCAGTTTAAAAATTTCCAATGTCTATATTGGAAACTGCAACAAATTATGAATGCATGTTAATAAACATGGCACTTTCGGTGTACTTGCTTGAGTGTAAAACTATTTTCGTATCGCCTAGGGACACATTCAAAGGAAGGCAGCTGGGTTGGCCTCTCCAAAGTTGCCTAACTTCAAATTCTTCGGATGCTACAAAATCTTTCATTTCTCCAGATCCAGACCCATCTGATCTTTTAGGTTCTGTTAGGGTTCATCAGTCTTCGAATGCTTTCGATTCTTGGGTTTCTTCAAATTCTGTTGAACTTTCATATTCTTTCGGCATTCTCCTTCAGATTTTTTAAATGTATGCTGATTTTTTGTATTCCTTCTTTTGCAGATTCTTCCTTTTAATTGTTTTCAATTTTCTAGTTTTTTGTAACGGTTAGTTAAAAAATGTTACTTTTCGTTTCTAATGATCTGGGCATAAACATGTTGACAAATTTACAATCTTATCTCTAAGGCGCTGACGCAATGTTGGTACTTAAATGGGAGAAGCTTCTAAAACTGAAAATTTAATAAGATAACATAAAACTAGTTCAAAATTAACCGCCCCCCAGTTAAGTCCTATACGTTCACAGGAAGTAGAAACCTTAGTTGCTAATTGAAAATTTTCACATTCTCGTAATATCTTAGGGGTTCCTTCTTTTTAAAGTTAATCTACTTAAAATGAACCTAAGGTATTTATATCAGAGTTTTTTAGATTACAACGCCCAGTAAACGTACGTTCGTTAATTTTACGTTTTCTTAACGTGTCAGTGGTAAATTTTATGCGAAGGTGAACTATATCACCCATATTTCACGTACAATTTACGTGTTGTCGAACCTTTTGACAAACGTATAACATTTACACTATTTTTTACGTATAATTATCGTTTAATTCGACCGAAAGTTTTCCGCCTTATTATTTATCGCCATATCCGGTATCTCGGATACACCTGAAAGATTGCGTCTTGTGGAGACGTTCAAGTACGGGAGCCGACCACCACCCTGGCGTTTCTAAATCGGTGGTCGCGTTCGTTTAAATATAGTTCCACATGAAACAATTATTCTTCAAAACGCACCACTCAATAGCGCTTCCTCGCCACATAAAGTGGTCCGTGTCAAAAGACTCTTAGACTTCAACTTCTTTAGTCTTCAAATCATATTCTTGAACAACATCCATTTCGTCTTTCAATTGTTCGAAGTCCGCCAAATCGTTCAGACTCTTAAGAGCCGCACTGCTGCGGTTTATGCCGATAAGTGGCGAAAGAGTAGAATATCATCTAAATTTTAAGCATGTTTTTTACGAATGAGTAGAAAGTGTTTGAAAATTGTATTCGAAAACAGAAGGTTTGGTTTAGGTACTCAGGGTTTTACACGCAAATCGATAAGAAAAATAATTTGGAAACTGTCATTGCTAGTGTCATGGTGGTGGGTGACAAAGGTGTATTTGATATTGATTGTGGGGTTAGGATTATTTACTAATAAATGACTGCCTTTGGGGAAGAGAGTTTATTTACTACCTAACTCGTTCAATGCAAGTCTTACACACTACTGATTATCAATCGTCGTCAAACTCAATCACCTGCGAGTTTGCCAACCTTGCTACTTACTTCTAGATTGCTGTAATAGCCAATTTCATCATATATCGGCGGATATCCTGTGGATATTGACTTTTACACAATCATAAGTTAATAACCTTATATTATTACACTACATGATAAAAAGCAGCCAAAGTGGGTAAAGAATTGATACAACCGAAATTCAAAAAATTATATGAGCAGCAGTACGATGCGTTTAGGTAAGAAGTAGAGCTGCATACAAAATGTGGAACAACCTACTGAAATTGCCTTGTTAGTAATTTCATCCTTCCGGGATTTTCGTCCAAATTTAATCCCGGCGGGACAAAAAGTGACACTTCAGTACTTGTCATAATGGGGTGAAGTTGTTACTTTAGTCTCGGAAGTACGAAAAATTTCAGGTGTGTCAATTATAGGAACTACAAAGTGTCATTTTAGTGTATCCACGATTACAAAGATGTCGCTTTAAACAAACAAGAAATCCGACATTATATAGTAATATTACCTACAGATTTACAATTGATTGGCAACCCGCCTATCAGTGAGGACTTTGAGCATATAATATAGTGTTTTGGGTGGAAATTGTGCGGTTCTTACACAAACATTTTCTTGAACGTAACTAGAGACATCTATCAATGACAAGCAGAAGTAGCGCGAGCGATATTAATTTATGCACTATGTGTATGTATGTCATTGCGCGCCTCTTTCGGTAATTGTACAAGTCAAAGTAATAAGTGTATCCGATTTCTATAATCGTCTAATACTAGAAAATTTTCAGATTCTTTATAGATTTTTCATTTTCCTTCCGATCCTTCAGATCATTTTTGAGACTGTAATTTCTTTAAATCCATCAACTTGTAGTAGATTTCAGACGTTCATACCGAGATCAGCAGTCGGTCAGAGTTTAGGTACTCTTGCGCACGTTTGTCAAATTTGATATTTCACATTTTGTTATTTTTTATGTTTTTTGATATGTTATACTATTGATATATTTGTTTACTTTCGAAAACCCCGTTCAATTTAGAAATATGGTTCCATTTTATTTCTACTACATATTGTTCTCAATTTAAAATGGAATTGAGCCGCAAAATCTAGCGCGCTGTTGCTGGGAAAAAAAAGGATTGTCAATTATTATTTTTAGTTAGTGACCTGTGACGCGTTGCTTTTCTTTTAGAATATTAGATAATTTTCGATATAAGTACTGCACTTGATGACATGTGAAGTTACATAACTAATAGGGTGCAACCTCAAAATACACCACTTCTACCTTTTACATTATAGGATATAGTGATGTATCGCTTATTTGGATACCTGGTACTAACCCGGTACAAACGAAATGTGAAGTGCTCGTTTTAGGATAATTGTGAATAGCGTATTTTGATCTCGAACACGGATACGATAGGATGTATACCTCGCAAGGCAAGCCTAAACTCTTCGCTTAAAGACGCGTTTAGACGTATCCAGTAGCTGGCGCCAGTCTAACTTTTCTGGGCTAGCAAAGCGCTGGCTCAGGTCGTTGGCACGTATCCAGTAGATGGCGCTAGTCTCACTGGCCGCAATTCTTGGTTCTCTATTGCATAAGCATTCCTGCTTTCTGTATATAGTTCAACAAACTAAATAGTTTCTTTTTCACTGAATTTACGCGCCATTTCATAAAAAAAATTAAACAATACGCCAATCAGCCTTGTAAGGTTATGGCAGCGAGACATCGACCTGCGCTAACGGTGGCGCAGGTGTACACGGTATGGGATTGGCAGCTACTGGCAACAAAAATAAACGCGCTCGCTATTCGCCCCAGTGTTGGCAACTAGCGCTGGACTGACACGAAACAGTATTCACACGATGCCAGTAATATACCAGTGCTGGCAGGCCAGTGAGACTGGCGCCAGCTACTGGATACGTCTAAACGCGTCTTAAAACGGAAAGCGCTATAGACAGTGAACACTGGGCGCGGCAGTCGGCGGACAGCAGCGTTTAATTTTTTCACGCAGCAAATCCACTGAACGCCTATGCTTATATAATCAGATTTCTGTCAGAAGCTGTGCGCAATTTACTCAGCGGGACCGCGCCCACTGTTTCGTAAGCATTGACATGTGCCACATAAATTACTAGAATTTAGGGTATACTAGGGATTTTCGCAATGCCAACAGACACCGAAGCGCACCAAACGCGTTTCAGGTGACCTAATTCTAACTGGCCAATGAGAAACGTATTTCGCCATATATCCTAAGTTTAACGTTTAACCTTTTGTATACCGTCCTCATAAAAACGTCTTGATTTGACAGTCACTGCAGCATTGTTGTTTTGATGCAGGTGTAACGTAAAATGAATGGCTACTTTGATTGAAAGTCGAAATACGATCACCCAAAAAATTGAAGCAATCTAATTATACATTCCCTTGTATAGGTACCTATAGCAAAACCTGTTCTGTATGATTATAATGTAATGCTGTCAATAGACATAGTGGCGTAGGTAGGTACTACCTATAAAAATCAAGTCAACATCAACTGCGATTATATTTATGTGGAAGTTTAGAAAGGTTCCATCACAATGAGATTAGGCTAGTGTACTAAAAAGCTTTTTTTTTTCACTACTAGCGTCTGATGACATGATTATTAACCTTTTTTCCACTTGTAAAGTAGGCTTTCTCGGCATTTGTTCAAAGTGGTTAATAATTTTTTATTATTAACTAGTAGTCAATAATGAGAACTGTCACGCTGTCACTTTTAGAAAACACAACCCGAAATTTCGCTCAATGAACGTTTAGACAAGTTCTCTAAAACGAATAATTGCCACCATTCGCAATTTCCAGAGAAATTACATACCTAAAATTATCACATTTTGAAAAAATTCGAACGAAATTACTCTTTGAAAAATCTCAATGACAGAACAAAATACGGCCTGTTTGACTTGTACTTCCACGTACTTGATTGACATGTTAAATTAAGAAACAAACAATTCTGTCCAATCGTTAACTCTCTTATCAATATAATATGTTAATTTAGAGGATTTCAAGTGCTAGTAGTGAAAAAAATAGTATATATACCACGGTAGAGAAGTCTATTATTGCCTTCGCACCTTACACCCCTCGGCGCAAGCGCCTCGAGATGTAATCTTGCTGCTCAGGCAATAATAGTGGACTTCTCTACCTTGATATATAATGTACTATTATTATACCTGAATCACAATCTCCGTTTTAAACACTCAAATGCGTGCGAAAAAGGGCCTTTAAAACACACGTGCTTTAAAGTTGCTAAGTAACGATACTTCAAGTATTACTTTTGAAACTGTTATCTGGATAAAATAAAAAATCCTCTTAGGTCGCTTTCTGTAAATGCAGAACATTTCTTTGGCTTTTATACCTATCCTTTGGTTGAAGCTTTCACAAACGCGCGTAATTTAGGGTATGCTTCCAAATTTGTTCCACTTTTTAATCGCAGCATTGCTTTAAAGATTTGAATGAATTCACCAAAATATAGAAGATTTAAATACCTTTGACATTTCCTTCATATATGCCAGCATTATGGATGCATTTAAGACTGTATTCGTAAGTAACTTCCTATTCATCCATGGAAAGAACTTTTCATATTCTTTATAATAGGCTTTACTGGAGTTGGATTTTACACCTACCAACGTTTGATTAGATTTTACAACAATCGATTTAATGCCGGTGTATTATCTTTTTCAACGGAAATCGTTTAATTCACAAAGACGATGATTTTTATAAGCAAACGTCAAGTGACATTTCCATGGCAATCGTGAAATACGAACACCCAGCCCACTTAATTAGACATGTATTCGAGTATACCTAACGTCAATATGACTTCATTGTATTTCCTATTTTTAAATTATACTGCAGGTATAATAAAAAATACTATAAGATACACGTGTATAATTGATCTTTAAAGCACTTGCAACGTTAAACTCGTTGCGCGTGCTTTAAAGACTTGATTATACACTTGTATCTTAATTAATATACTATTTTGCAGTTTGTGAATTTGTTATAATTTATGACATTTTTACAGGATATGGTGACTTAGTAGCAGCAGTACAACGCCTTCAATTACAGCTGAAAAAGGCCGGTACTGGGGGAGGACTGGGAGGGCTGGAAGGCAGAGTGGCAGCAGTGCAGTCGCTATTGCTATCGCCCCAGTTTGGTCGTGCCTTGGCCGTACATAATAAAGTGCAAGCTGTCAGATCAAGAACCGCGCACCGAGCTACCATCAACGCCCAGGCAGCTCTTAGGGATTGTTTAGACGCCTTAGGTAGTTCCCAGAGTGCGTACGCCGTAGAATTGGCAACACTGTTAACAGGTATTTAAATTAGTTCTGATTTCTTTGATGACATGTTCCCTTTTAGGGTATGAGCTTGAGGCGCTCATGGTTGCGCATGACGATGTTGCGTCAACGCTACCTGCCGATTCCACAACTCCAACGCTTCCACCTACAGAGACAATACCACAAACATTACCTGACCAATACGGATCGGATAATATAAAAATTATCAAAATTGAAAAAAGTACCGAACCTTTGGGTGCAACAATTAGGAACGATGGTGACGCAGTTGTCGTAGGTAAGTTACAGTTCATTTAGCTTTGGACGACTTGATTGAGTTTTTCTCTCAGGAAGGGTGGTACGAGGAGGAGCCGCAGATAAAAGCGGTCTACTACATGAAGGTGACGAAATATTGGAAGTGAACGATATAGAAATGCGTGGGAAGAGTGTAAATGCTGTCTGTGATATCTTAGCGGCTATGGAAGGAACCCTAACGTTCCTTATAGTCCCCGCTGCTCAAGCAAGAGGCCACTCTGGAAGAGACTCTGTTTTACATGTGAAAGCACATTTCGATTACGATCCCGAAGACGACTTATACATACCATGCCGCGAATTGGGTATAAGTTTTCAGAAAGGTGACGTTTTGCATATCATAAGCCAAGAGGATCCCAACTGGTGGCAGGCATACAGAGAAGGTAGACGGCGTAACTTGGCGCTTCGTTTTTTTATAACTCAAGGTTGACCGTAGGCGAGGAGGATCAAACGTTAGCTGGTCTGGTGCCTTCTCAAACTTTTCAGCATCAACGGGAGAGTATGAGACTAGCTGCTAGCGAACGGTATCCTCGCGCTCAAAGGAAAGCGACGACTTTATTGTGCGGGAAAACGCCGAAACGTAAGAAAAAGAAAGGCACTTACGCAGAAGGAGGATATCCAATGTATACTAATGCAATAGATGGTAAATATATATGTTTACTATATAACGTGTATAGGTACACGTCTGTGTAAACGAACTTTGTTAATTCTTTTTGCTTTTTCACTTTCCTCTTGTTGTTTTTGCATCTATGTGTAATTCTTTGTAGATCAATTCTTTTTACTTTTGTAAGATTGTAATGTTTTCATATGTTAGTATTGTCGTATTTATTTTCATTCTGGTTTTCCTACGTGTTTCTTTCTTCCTTTTTACACAGTGTGCTGTCATTTTGTAACCTGCTTTCTAATATTTTTCTATATATGCGTTTATTATATAATAGGTAGTCAACGAAGTAATCTCTCTGTAAATTTTTACTTGTGGTTTGATTTCCTCATTCTACTTATTACCATCGAGTTTTGTTTTTTATAAGTTTCACAAGTCCCTTTGGCACTGCTCATTTTTTTAAAAATTTTCTTCTAACTTTTATGTATGTTTTAATTTTTATTTCAATTTATTCAGCTGTGTTTCAGTGTATACTTGTGTTACACTATTCTTTGAAGTCGTTGTACTCTTGACTCTCACATCCACTACTATTTCTTATGTCTTCTGTCTATAAACACATAATCTAATTTTGTTTTTTCTTTTCTTTTTCTATTCCCCTGATTTACATCTCATGTACACAAAAATCTTATTATTCCTCTTGCATTATCATTGAAACATTGTTTATAAAAATTGTGGGAGTATGATTTGCTAAAATAATTATATTTGTAGAATATGAACCTGAAGAAATCCTGACGTATGAAGAAGTAGCATTATATTACCCCCGCGCAAACAACAAAAGGCCAATAGTACTCATAGGCCCACCGAACATCGGCAGGCACGAGCTGAGGCAAAGGCTAATGGAAGACTCGGAACGATTCGCCGCTGCAATACCTCGTAAGTTAATCCGCATCAGTCACATTTGATTGATAATTGTTTACTTAGACACGTCGCGCGCGAGGAAAGACAACGAGGTGGACGGACAAGATTATCACTTCATTACGAGAGCGCAATTCGAAGCGGATATTCTGTCGAGAAAGTTCGTCGAGCACGGCGAGTACGAAAAGGCGTACTATGGAACTTCGCTGGACGCGATTCGATCGGTGGTCAACTCTGGGAAAATATGTGTACTTAATTTACATCCACAAAGTTTAAAAATTTTACGAACTTCTGATCTTAAACCTTATGTTGTGTTTGTAGCACCGCCCAGCCTTGAAAAATTAAGACAGAAGAAAATACGGTGTGGAGAAGCTTTCAAGGTAAATAGTTTCTACTTTAGCAATACCGAAACCCTTATCTAAAGCTCTGTGTGACACAAAACTAAAATATTAGTACTAGATGGCATTCAAAAGCTCACTGTGTATCACATTTTATAATTTTTAGTCTACATTGACTCCTGTGTGACACAATACACGTTTAAAAACATTGTTTTTCAACACGATATTTAAAAAAATTCCCCATGATAAGATATTCACTTAGTTGGTTTTTAATTTAATAGGATGGTGCACCCTCGCACCATCCCTTAATCGTGCAAGAATACCTATCGGAAGAATTTCCTGGTAAATTGATAATTTGTTCGAGAGGTATTCACGCACGATTATGGCCTTCTGGGCGAGTGCACCATCCTGTTGAAACCAACAGTTTTCAACTTTTTCGTGCGCCATCGTTGATAATAAAAAATGCTACTCAATACAGTGTGTACTTTTTGTACGTGCCATATAAAAAAATGAAGTTGATTATGGTTTCTCCGAAATGAAATATTTTACTGAAAATCTCTCAAGGTTGTCTTGTAGACCTAAAAAGGTGGCAATGAGTTTTTCCTCTTTACCGTCGTCGTATCTTCTATATGGTTACCGAGATGATTAGGTTCACCTAAGAAATATAAAAATAAAAAATGATTAAAAGAAATTCTTTTATTTGGTACCTGCACAAGAGAAACATTTATAGGTTAAGGTAACGTTTTCTGGTAAAACGGATTTTACATAAAAAATTCAAATTTTATACACTATCCATTACTATTTTTGGAACGGGCCACTTTCTATCAACAATTCAAAAACATGCATAGGTCACAAGAGTTCATTTGTTTTTTTTTATATAACATTTCTTCTAGTCATCTCGGCGACGGCTCGTAACTTAATTACTCCCATTTTTTCTCTACAGTCTTCGCAACAAACATTATAAACTCCGGTATTGATTTCGTGCGGCGGAGTCGCGAGGCTTGCTTCGCCAAATGAAGAACTGCCTCGCGCCAAAAGCCACCTCTCCTTGAAGCACCTGACCTACAATCGCTCTGTTTGCACGCCGTTTATGCATTATTTCTGCCGCGCTCGAAAAAGATCAAAATGCCATATCTTACAATTATAGTCTATCCATACTGTAGGCGATTTTTTAAGAACTCTTTCATCCATTCGTCAGCGTTTCTTGCGATTTGCTAAAATTCGATGCGTCACAACGAAACTAATGACGTTAACGTAGGTCAAAACTCTGAGTTGTCAAAAACACTACATTCCAACTACGAATCTAATACTGACATTGAACTATATACTCTGTAACTGGAAGATTTTTTAATATGAAGTTTGTAACTTTAGACCTAACAAAGAAAACACCCTGTAAATTTATTTTTGATTTAATTTTTACTTTAACCAGGGTAAAAGATATAGAGACCCTGGAATCAAAATTTAAGTAGTAATTTTGACAACAAACTGATGACTGTAAATACCATTTTTTTCTTATAAATCTAATTACCTTTAAAATTACCAGTTCTTCGTATATTAACCATATACATAATAAAAAGAAGTCGCACCATTAAAGAATGCATTCAAATACAGAGAGATAAATGTACCTTTTAGCCCTACTTTGTGAACGCACTCTGTATAATAAAATATATTTTTAAAATGAATAGAATATTCAACCATATCATAGTACAAAAGCAGTCTGTCGAAAAATATTATCTTTAAGACATCTCCGCGCAATTGTTGATTCGCCCTGTATATTTAAAAAAAATATAGGTACAAAATATACAACTATGCAAAAATTAGAGTGGATGAGGAGCCCGAAACAAACGTCGTTTCCAACCAACAAGAACTAAACATGTATTGTTATGTAGTCATTTTTGTACCGGACCCTAGATAAAACATATTTTAATCCCTTCACTCACAACAGTCACAACAGTAGATTCAATTACAGTTTACATTTCGTATTACAAAAAAAACACCTTGAAATAGTTGTTAGTGTGTGTGTTTGCTTACGAAAGATAGGATCACATCCACTTTTATGACAAATAGCCTAATCCGAAATAGAAACAACGAAATTTATATATCAAAAAATATAAACTGTTTAATTTCCCACAAAAATCAGAGTCTGCGCTATGTCTTCAACCATTTGGGAATAATCAGCATTTATAGTTTACTTCTGTATTGACATTCACAATTTTTGGAATGCTCATGTGCTTTAATTAATGAATCTGATTTCAAAATAATGCGAGTGCAACAACACATTAATTGTGGTAGAATATATCAATAAGTTCGTGTAGAATATACATAACAAAATATAAACAGTTGGAAGATGTGACATCACATTGGATACCACTCGGGATACCATCAGTAGCTAATAAAATCAGAGAATATACCAACATAATACCAGGGATTTCCAAAAAAACACCAATCGTGACTGCAAGAAAGATTAGGTATACTTTCATCAATTTCATATTTTTAAAAAGTGCAAGAAACCCGTCCTGAAAAATCCCAAAATTGAATTACATTTTTTTAACATTTTTCCCCAACAACCATATGTAACACATAAAAAGATCTGGCTAACGGCTTTACCTAGGTCGGTGAGCATGCCCTTTCCAATTTTTCAAGAATGTCAACAAAATTCTTCCTTTGCAACTCTAAATGGGGTAGGAAGGGAATTTAGTATCCCACTACTCCTTTAAATGGATGCTGTTAGAATATTTATATTAGTTTCGCATTATCTTAATTAACATTGCAATAAATTTGCAGGAAGAAGAATTGAAGGACATCATAGAGAAAGCGAGAGAAATGGAGAACAAATACGGCCATTTCTTCGATATGATAATAATAAACAATGATACAGAACGCGCTTACCATCAACTATTAGGAGAAATAAATAGCTTAGAGAGAGAACCACAGTGGGTGCCAGCTGCTTGGGTGAAAGCACTTTAGAATTTATTTATATTATTTATAGTACAAATTAAAACATGTCATCACATTAACCAGACCTTTTATATAATTTGGCAATTTGAAGGGCGAATTTTTTGATAGCCTAAGAAAGTAAGTAGGTACGGAACAGAATTTATTCCACTTCAATTGAACTTTCTCTACACTAACAGCTCTACCACTGCCAATAAATCAGATTGCAAGCATATCTTTTAAAATTTCACAACCCGATTACTAATACATCACAGAGCGTACTTGCAGTTCTTTAGGCTATGAAAAAGGCTCTTAATTGAACATCACATAAACGTGCTGTGATCATGTACTGCGAATTGACAGTGTTCAAGTCTTGAACCAGTAAAGGTATTTCAGAGATGGCAATAATGATTGTACATAAAAACATTATAAAACGTTTAAAACGTATTTTATCTGTGTATAGAGTGTATCTAGCCCTCGAATGTTGTATATAAGAGTTAAAATATATTTGTCTTAGGAATTATCGGAACAAAGTCGCTAATGTGTTTTAGATTGTAGACGTCCTTATTGTAAGTCTTTTATTATTGTTAAATAATTTATATTTCAAAATCTAATTGTTTGATTCCGGTTTAAATGTATTAAGAATTTATAATTACAACGCAAATTATCTATAGGTATACTTGATTCCGTGTAAGATAATAAAGAAAACTGAAGATTGTTGTGTTGTTATCACTTCAGTATATTATTATGTATAAATACTTTTTATTGTACCTACCACTTAATATTCACTCCGATCTTTATAGGTAACCTTCCAATTCCAGTTCTTACAATGGAATAATTAACGATAGTTCTAAAGTCATAGATTGTATTTTCTGTTTTATTTATTGTTATGATTTTTATGTAAATAATAAGCGATATCAGATGTAAATAAAGAAAGATCAGACCCTATGGTGTCTGTTGAGAGCATCATGTATAAAGTTTTAATTAGTTTCTCTTAATACTTAATAGAATGATGTGACGTGTTGGGGTTCCTTTACAATTAAATATTTTACTATGCATAAATCTGTTTTAGAATTGCAGAAATAAATATTTCTCACTATTAGCAAATGTTTCATTCATGGTAGGTACCGCTATTCCTGTGCTACTCATCGTGATATCTATAATTTAGCGTTCTATGTTACTTCCCAATGACTTCAGTTAGCTTTAGTTACCTTTTTGTAATACAACTTTGAATGTAGCATAAAGGCAACATTTTACTTTATTACTGTTGCCATGGGTAACCAATGCTTTGGGCCGAGGCCTACGATACTTACAGGCCGGAGCGCTCGAAAAAGTCACGTGACGTTAGGAGTCATATGAAATACATTACGGCTTATGGAAAATCCGTGCGCGGCTCCACTATTTATTTTTTTTACTCCTGATCCGTTCAACATAGAACCACGAAATTTCAATGAGAGCTTGTCAATAGTACACACAATCAAATTATGGTGTTCGTTAATTTTTAATAACACTAAAAATAATTAATTTTTAGGTTTAAAGTATTGCAGATAAAACGATGTTAGTAAATCCGCGTTTTTCTGTCTTTACATCATCATATTTCTTTTTCTAGGAACTATATCATTATAATCCTTTCGGTGTCTTAAACTAGAATGATATGCGCCTCCAATTATGCGTATATGATGCCTAATCTGATATTAGTATAGTTTTAAAAGGCCCTACAAAATCGCGCATTTATTATCCGCGCAGAGAAAAATTCACCATGCGAGAAACTTTTTTGTTATTACTATAATTGTATCACATATATCGAATGAATTGTGGCCAAAGGACACAAAAATGTTCTTCAGAAGGAATTTTTAAGAAATGGTCTCTTGTTTCCTTTTTTTCAGCAGCTGAAGTAAATAGCGCGATTTCAAGAATAAGTGAACGCGCAAAGGAATTATTATGTTTCAAATAATTGTTAGTAATCCATTTTCAAATTGTGTTTGTGAGATTCAAATTTACATTAAATTATAAAATTAAAGATATTATCAGTCAAAAGTATGGAGTATATCTTATATCTTCGTTAATATGAATTTTGCAGTACATAAAGTATTTTAGTTATACCTTCTCGTGTTAAAGTGAAATGGGAAATTTGCATTGTCCGCCTAAGAGGCCTGGTAAGTATCGTAGGCTTTCATCTTCATTCTATGAATAAATAAAAATAACCTTTTGAATAAGGAAGTTTTAAAAAATAGCATTTTCTATCCAACTTACAGCAGTTTTAGTAAAAAGTACAGCTTGTAAGGAATAGGCAGTGCCGTTTTTTTTTTTCGTTTTCAGAAGTAACTGTTGTGTCGTTTTCTAAATCTTAGAATATTTCAATACTTATATTTAACATCGCCTCATCTTCTGCTAAATTACACGACGAAACAAAATCTTTGATGCAAAATACTCCTCTTGAATCTCACAAACACAATTTGAAAATCGATTACTAACAATTATTTGAAACATAATAATTCCTTTGCGCGTTCACTTATTCTGAAATCGCGCTATTTACTTCAGCTGCTGAAAAAAGGAAACGAGAGACCATTTCTTAAAAATTCCTTCTGAAGAACATTTTTGTGTCCTTTGGTCACAATTCATTCGATATATGTGATACAATTATAGCAATAACAAAAAAGTTTCTCGCATGTTGAATTTTTCTCTGCGCGGATAATAAATGCGCGATTTTGTAGGGCCTGTTAAAACTATACCAATATCAGATTAGGCATCATATACGCATAATTGGAGGCGCATATCATTCTAGTTTAAGACACCGAAAGGATTATAATGATATAGTTCCTAGAAAAAGAAATATGATAATGTAAAGATAGAAAAACGCGGATTTACTAACATCGTTTTATCTTCAATACTTTAAACCTAAAAATTAATTATTTTTAGTGTTATTAAAAATTAACGAACACCATAATTTGATTGTGTGTACTATTGACAAGCTCTCATTGAAATTTCGTGGCTCTATGTTGAACGAATCCGGAGTAAAAAAATAAATAGTGGATCCGCGCACGGATTTTCCATAAGCCGTAATGTATTTCATATGACTCCTAACGTCACGTGACTTTTTCGAGCGCTCCGACCTGTAAGTATCGTAGGCCTCGGTTTAATCTTATTTGTCAATATACATGTGTTAATTATTATTAAAGGTTATAATAACAGACCAGGTTTTACGTTGATTCTGGGTACCTCTTTTTGATGTCATCCATAACACCGGAGCTAAGTTTGTTACCTCCCAAACGTACACCTCTCAATGAGATTAGATTGTTGAAGACGTCCGGGTTCAAGTCGCTTATCTCATTATGCTCAAGGTTGAGGGAAGTCATTCTGTCAAGTCCTTGGAACATTCCCTCATTGACATGCTTTAAGGTGTTGTTAGACAAATCCAACTCCAAAAGCGACTCAAAACCCTCGAACGTACCTGGTTTGATATCATCAATTCCGTTGTTACCTAACTTCAAGTACTCCAACATATGTATGATTGGTATCGAACCCTTTTGTAACGTCCCCAGTTTGTTGAAGGCCAGATTCAGCGACGAAAGTATGTCTATCGGCTTGAAGATGTCGGTTGGCAAACTCTTGATACCGTTCATATGCAAGTCTAAGACTGTCAAGCCGCGGGCGGTTGTAAATTCGTCGCCCTTTAGGTTTTGAAGGTTGTTTTGTCCCAAGTAGAGATGGCGCAAGTATGGAAACACCTGGAAGCCGCCTTTGTCGATTGAAACGATTTTGTTATCACTCAACGTGAGATTTTGGACGTTCCGTAGGCCAGTGAACATCTCTCCTTTGATTTCTGAAAGCCGATTTTCATGCAAGTGTAAGGTGGTGACTTCGCCTAATCCCTCAAACGCGCCCACTTCTATATGGTCGATGCGGTTCCCCGACAAGGAGAAGTGTCTTATCTCTCCCACACCGGCGAACATCCCTTTATTCAACCGCTTTAGCCTGGAGCTGTTAATGTTAAAAAACCTTACTTTTTTCAAGCTGGAAAAGCATCCAGAAGGAAAGGCTTCTACATCAACATTTTCTATCTGTAGCGATGTCAAGGATGATAAGTCCTTAAAAGCCTCGCAGGATATGGATCCAATGGGATTCTTTGAGATATTAAGGTATCCCAACGAACTTAACCCTTCAAACATCTTCGTTACTATGCTACTCAGCTGATTGTTGCTGAAGAACATGAATCGGACAAGCTTCAAATTTTTAAAGGTACCAGATTCGAAATTCATAATCTTGTTGTTGCTCAAATCTAGGTTGGACAGATTGGGCAAGTTGTCAAAGATTCCTTTTTCCAAATAGTAGATTTCATTATCTGCTAAATAGAGCGACTCTAACTTAACGTTCTTGTCGAACGCTCCACGTGGAAGTAACCTGAGCCTATTTTTTGTGAGAGTCAGGGCTTTTAATTCAGTTAGACTATCGAAAGAGGCGGGTTCAACTGTACCGATCTTGTTGCCGTGGAATACAACGTCTTCCAATGCGTGTGCACCTGAGAACATTCCAGGTGAAATCCTCTCGATTTGGTTTTCTGCCACATCCAGTACGGAGAGCTTGGAACAGTCGGAGAAGGTGCCATTGGGAACTGATGACAGAAGGTTTCTGGCTAAGTAAACTGCAGTAAGCTCTGAAAGCCCAGCGAATACCCCATCCAAAGCTGTCAGTTGGTTATCCGAAAGATCGATGACCCATATATTATTCGTTTGTTTGAAAATGGTGCCTGGGAGGCTGTGAAGTTTATTCTTGGAAAGATAAAGATTGCGAAGGTTTTTTAATTGCGCGAACAAGTCACTGGGTATATCCTTTACAGTGTTATTCTCCAAGTGTAGCTCATACAATGAGCTTTGATCGTTGAAGACTTGAGATGGTAACGTCTCCAAGCGATTGCCATGCAGCCAAAGTGTTTGGAGCTTAAATAACCCTCTGAACATGTCATTATCTAACTGAACCCAGTCGTTCTCGCTAAGAAACAAAGTTTTCAGTGATACCAATTTTGCAAGCAGGTTGTTTGAGATTTTCACATGCCTGTTTGTATGAATATACAGATGGGTAAGATTTGGGGAACTATCAAAGGCACCTTCATCAACTTCCTCCAACTCGTTATCGTGAAATTCTACTTGGAACAAAGCATGCATGTCAGCAAATGCTTTCTTGGCAAAGCGCGACACTTTCGTTCCAAAGATTTTAAACGATTTCACATTAAACATTCCTTCAAACGCTTTATCTTCAATATTGCCTACTTTGCTAGAGCCAATTTCGAACACTTCCAATTTTTTTAAAGGTTTAAAACTTCCATTGGGTATATTCGTAATGTTGCTAGAAAAAAACCATAAAGCTTTTAAATGTTGGTAACCTACGAAGGTGTTCGGCTGAAGAAATCCAATCTCACTGTTTGTGAGTTCTAATTTAATAAAATCCGCCCTTGGAACTTTGTCTTTCTCAATGCATTCCTCAACGCTTTTCTTTAGCTGATCCAACGAACTTATACCGTGACAGGTTATAGTTTTCCAATGGTGATTGTTGCAGAGTTTCGATTGTACATTGGCTAACCCAACAAGAAACAGTAGCTTTACGATTTGTCTCATCGTGAGCTAACTGAAAAAATAAATTACCTCTAGAATGCTGTAGCAACGATACCTACCAGATTTTGAAGTTGGCCACGACAACTTTGAGCACGAAACGGATTAACACTCGTTTAAATATGGAAGATTAGGGCTTTATCATACTAGGTAAGTGGATGGTGCCTGTTTACATCGCAACATTAAATAATCGCCGGATGCACAACACTCGAAGATAAGCAATCTATAAGCACCTAAAAAATAAGGCTTTTATGGCTTCCCAAAACGTTTAAGCCTATTTTAAGGATGGCGTGAGCTAACGCTTTTTGAACCAATCTAAAAGGATAAATATGCCAACAAATTAATACCAGCACAACATAAATTATATCATATATGCCTTGAAAGGACACTTGCCAAGCAACCGAGTATACTGGGTCAAACTGGGTCGGTGTGCGGTAAATTCGCCCCGGAAGACTCGCCCCGGTAAATTCGCCCCCGAAAATTCGCCCCCGGAATATTCGCCCCCAAGTAAATTCGCCCCCGGAATATTCGCCCCCAAGTAAATTCGCCCCCGGAATATTCGCCCCAAGTAAATTCGCCCCCGGAATATTCGCCCCGACAAATTCGCCCCCGGAATATTCGCCCCGACAAATTCGCCCCCGTAGCATTCGCCCCATAACATTTATTAACCCTCGGAAGTAATAGGTTGGTTTAAATTAATTAAATAAATATTTGCAAAAATTACGATATTTGGAACTCAATACGGCGAGACTGACAACTCGAAATTGTTCATATTCAATCGTCTATTCGTCTCTCAACGGTTCAACGTCAACCGTATGTTTACAATACATTTTACAACAAATTGCGTTTACAAAGGAGTCTAATTACTCAGCCATTTATGGATGTATTGAAATGTTTTTGGCATCAATGTATAAACAAAGGATGATTCTTTCTTTAGACTTACATTTGAAAATTGGCTCAGATTTGATGTAAATTTGTGTTGAAAAAAACCAACATTGATGAAGTTTGCTGAAGTATCAAATCATAATTAAAATATTCTAAAAAAATCTAACTCGAAACATCCCATTTCTTTAAAATATAAAAAAAGTTATATATTTATTAGTGAAGTAGTAATTAGTAGTGAAGTGAAGTAGTAATTAGTCTGCTATACGGTACTCTTGTACTCGTTCCAAATTCAGCCCGTCGGATCAGCCTTAAATTTGAGAATTTTGGTAAAAAATGTGCAAATGCCATAAAAGTTTTAAAATGTCCTATTATTATGTAAGTATAACAAGTTAAAAAGTAATCGTAAACGATTTACATAAAGCGCATTTCCACTTGCATTCATTTCCCATTTGTAAGATGCAACTTCTGTTAAAATCGTAAAATCCGGCCACAAATATGAAAGATAGCGTTGCACATGGGCAATCCATTTTTGACGTGCTACTTCAATTTCAGTTTATGAGAAGAATTTCATTTCAATGCTTTTTTAAATAAGAAAGTTGAAACTGCGCATGCGCAAACCTAAATTTTGAAACTAATGTTAGATTTTCCTTTGTTCCAAGCGCCTAAGTATCAAATTTCACTTAAATGGTTCCATAGATAAAAAAGTTGACACTGCGCATGCGCAAAACCAAATTTTGAAATTGGCGTTTGATTTTCCTTTATTCCAAGTGCCTATGTATCAAATTTCGTTTAAATTCTTCCATAAAAAAAAGTTGGCACTGCGCATGCGCAAAACCAAATTTTGACATTGGCGTTTGATTTTCCTTTATTCCAAGTGCCTATGGTATCAAAATTTCGTTTAAATTCTTCCATAATAAAAAGTTGGCACTGCGCATGCGCAAAACCAAATTTTGAAATTGGCGTTTTGATTTTCCTTTATTCCAAGTGCCTATGTATCAAATTTCATTCAAATACTTTTATAAGTAAAAAAGTTTGCAATTCAGTTTATAAATGGTCGAGATGCGAAAAGGGCACTGTGAATTTTGAATCGATTCGATTCAACTTTTGGCATTGCGTATTATATGGCTAAAGCTATGCCCATATTGAATTTTCATGCCATTCAGTTCATAACTAACGGAGATGTAAAAGCGATCGAACATTTCTAAACAAAGTTATCGTTCACACGGACAGATAGATGGACAGACAGACAAAGGAATAGACGGACAGACCAACAGGCAGACGACAGATAGCAATGCAAAATTATAAACGATCTCTAGGATCGTTAATAAACGGCAAAAGTGTAAAATTATGGAGCATGTAAAAAACGGTTTTTTGTTTTTTTTACAATAACTTTTTTTGTAAGCGGTACAGAAAAAATTCCTTCCTTGGTACAAGACTCGACACCATAAGGAACCAAATAGCGAAAAAAGTAGAACAAAATAGCTCTTAAGATAAAGAACTAGTAGTGTCGCAAAGTTAGCGGACGGACGGACGGACGGACGGACGGACGGACAAAGTGGCTACAATAGCGCATTTTTTTTTATTTTTGTGGAAATGCGCTAAAAATGACAATACGGATTACTGATGCTATAAGAGTTCCTTTTTTGCTGTTGTCAGTTTGATTTTCAGATTTTTGTATTTACTTTATTCAACCTTATCTTAATTACCTATTCATATTTTAGTTAACAGCTATTTGAGTGCTATTATTCTACCCCCTTTATATACACAGTTATTACAAAAAAAATTAAAATTAAACAACATTCATTTTATGAACTGCTGGCCTTGTTACCTCCAAGGATTAATAAATCTTATGGGGCGAATCCTACGGGAACGGAATCACCGGGGGCGAATTTGTCGGGGGCGAATTTGCCGGGGGCGAATTTTCCGGGGCGAATCGTACGGAGGCGAATAGTCCGGAGGCGAATTTACTTGGGGGCGAGTTTTCTTGGGGGCGAATTTTCCGGGGCGAATCTTTCTGGGGCGAATAGTCCGGGGGCGAATTTACTTGGGGGCGAGTTTTCTTGGGGGCGAATATTCCGGGGGCGAATTTTCAGGGGCGAATTTACCGGGGCGAATTTTCGGGGGCGAATCATCCTACAATTACTGGGTCACTGGGTGAAATTGTGTCACTTGGTAAAACTGGGTCACTGAATCAAACTTAGTCACTGTGTCAAACTGGGTCAATCTGAGCAACTGAAGAGAGTATGAATTGACCCAGTTTAACCCAATGACCCAGTCTCTGCTTCCAAATGGTTTGGCAGGGCCTAAAAGGCCATGGATCGCCAAAACTCAACCATTTAGGTCGTGTGAATTCTTGAATTTGTTGGCAGTTCTAACTAAGAGGAATCGAAGATGACGTCCTCGTTGGTTTTCCAGTTTTTCATAGTGGTGTTTCGATTGCCATTGCAGATTTCCAAAAATGTATAAGGACCAGAAGGCCATAAAGGTCCGAAAAGGCTTCGGCTGCTCTGTAAAACATTTGTACGCCCCATATACACCCCCGGGATCATCTACGTGATCTTTCAAAATCCACAGAATGCTTAGAGAGCGTTCTAGAAAGTCCTTCCCATGTTTCCTCAACCATTGCACTTAGCTGTGATAGTGTCAAAATGGATGGAGGAATGAGACGTTTGAAAGTCATGGGAAGACCCTTGATAACCTTAAAGTTAGGCTCTTAAAAGACTTCAACTTACCCAGTTTGAAAAACACCTAGCAAAAATTCAGAAAATGAGATTTATAGAACATGGAAATGTTTCCTTGAATCTGTAATATTGATAATGAGCTTACAACGCTTCTTCCGAAGATCTTCGGAATATTTGTAAGAGTCGGTTGGGTTGCCTACATACAGGCGTGAAATTCCAGAAGATAAATTTGGTTCTGGCGCCCTTATTTTAGATTTCCGACCCCAAGTGTCCTATATCAAAATACTCCCCTAGGCACCCCCTATACGCTCCCAAACGGTGGCAGGTACTATAGGAATCACCCTGTATAAACAAACTGGATAGCGTTAATTAATTGATATAAATCAACGACGTAATTAAATTTACGTTACAATACGATTCTGTTCTTGTATCATGCATCCTTTTTCTTCTTTCAATACTTTGCTATTTACTATGACCTGTTACCCACATCCCTCCTGATCCATTTTCTTAATAGCAATTCTCCTTCTTCTTTTTCATTCTTTATCTTCCCGTTGATATCAATCTTCATTTATTCACTGCTCTAGCGTTTAGACCTCCTCCCCTCTTCCAGTTACCTTCTAATCTTTCTAAAATCATTTATAATTTCCCTGTTGCAAGTCGTTAATTTGTGTTCGTATGTCGGTTTTTAGTGCGAGCTCTTAATAGAAATACTTAAATGTAACTGCAAGAAAAACAGATGTAGGTACATATTTTTATCGCATTTTTTAAGAAGGGGGGGGGGTGACCACATATTCTACCCTTGATGGTATTCTAATGAGAGGTACAAACTATAACATTCCCGTGCGACTAATTTTCGAGATCAGTGAGCGACGCGTCCTGAGGGGTGGGGTGGGGGGTTAAAAATTAATTTGATCTCTCATTCTATTCTAATTAAAGGTCTCAACGAAAAGAACCGTTTTCTACCAACTACTATAACTGTTGTTATATATCTGTAGATAATTCATTACCAGATCTAAAAGATGTTTCTACGACCTTGAATGCACGACGAAAAGACGAAAAATTTAGTGAATTGAAAACTTTACGTGAGCCGAATTCGTGTCTATCAAAGGTGACAGACGTGACTAAATAGTATATTGAAAGGAAAGGTTATAATAAAGTCTTTAAAGCGCACGCAACGAGTTTAATGACACGACGCGTAACGGAGATACTTCATATTGGCGTTATACTAGAATACCTACATGTTTAATTTAAGTCGGCTGTTAATTCGTAATTAAAAGATTGCCATGCGTATGTCACTTGTTTGCTTATAGAAAAAGCCGTCTTTGTGAGTAAAATGACTTCGGTTGAAAAAGATCCATTGAATGGCTTGCTGCAAAAGCAGAAGAAAAGTTGGTAGGTGCAAAGTCCAAATCCAGTAAAGCCTATTTGTTATTCTTAGGG